GGGGGGGAGGTGGATGGATGGACGCAGATGGACGGACGGACAGATGGATGGATGGATGGGTAGATAGGTAGATGGATGGATGATGGATGAATAGGTAGGTGGGTGGATGGATGGATGGATCAGTGGATGGATGGATGGATGAATGGATGGATGGATGGATGGATGGGTGGGTGGATGGATGGATGGGTGGATGGATGGATGGGTGGATGATTGGATGGATGGATGGATGGATGGATGGATGGATGGATGGAAACCCAAGTTCAAACCGTTCATTTTACAGAGGAAGGGACTGGAGTTCAGAAAGGAGAACCGTTGTGAGTTTCACTTTAAAAAGGGAGGTGGAGAAAGAAGGGGAAATTGCTCCTTGATGCACGTCTATTCCTCCTCTAAGACCCAAAGATGTTTCTAGGGGCCCTCCCTGACCCCCAAACTGGGCTGAGTACCTCTTCTGGGCCCCCACCCCCCCCCTGGTCTACCCCCGCCACAGCCCTGACATCTCTGGGCCGTCAGCGAAGGTCTGCCTCCCTCACTGGACGAAGAGGCCATGAGTGCAGGGCCCACCTGGCCTGGGCCCACCCAACCCACACCTCGGCATGACGGGGGTGGGTGCAGAAGAGGCATGTGTTAAATGTGTGTTGAGTCGACCCGTAGAACCCCAAGAAAGGAAGAACCCCAAGGCCAGAAGCCTCATTCTGGGAATAATTAAAAGCACAAGTGTAATTTGCTTGGAAAAGGAAGGCCAGGAGAAATCTTCTCAGCCATCTGCAGGCACCGAGGGGCTGCCAGGAAGACAAGTGGCTGGTGCTGCTCACTAGGACTGGACCAGAACCGGTGAGAGGTAGTTACACAGAGCAGATGTGACTCACAAGAAAGGTTTTTAAATGATCAAAACTTCTCCAGAGCAAAATATGCTGCCCTCCTTCCTCCCTTGCTGGAAAGGTCTAAACTAAGGCCCGGCAGCTAGCCGTCTGGGCACCCAGGACCTCTGAGGAGGCAACGAAGTACAGTGGCCGAGAGTCAGGCTCTGGAGACAGGCTGCAAGGTTCTTACCCTGGCTCACCTACTTGGCAAGTGGCTTCACCACTCTGTGCCTCAGTTTCCAAGTCATTCCTATGGGGAGTTCACAGTAGCAACTCCACAGGCTGGGTGTAGGGACTGAATGAGATCACGCGTGTAAAGTGCTTACAGTAGAGCAGGGTTTGGCACGGAGTCAGCACCCACTAATGTTAATTACTACTGTTTTTCTTCCCCTGTGGAGCCAGACACTGCTGGCTGCTAACCCAGCTGACACGCTCAATTCCCTTTTTCTCTGGCTTCCTCCTCAAGGGAGGTTGAGAAGCTAAATGAAATTTCCCACCCTTCTTGGGGCGAGAGGAAGACATGTGACACATTTCTGGCCAATGAGGTGTAAGTGGAATCTTCTGGGGTGGGCGGAGGATGCTGAGAGTGCGTAAATGGTCCAGAACCAAAAACCACGTGCTGCTGGGGTTGACTCTCCTTCTCCCTGTTCTGGCTATAGCTGCAGCCGCAGCCTCGCAACCATGAGGGGAAGGCCAAGTGAATCAAAGAGGTTCCAGCCCAAACATCACTCAGCCTTCGAACTGAGTTGGCAGCCAAGTCCCTCCAAGAGAAGTCAATCCTTGTCTAAGCTGCTGGGAGATGGGCTGGCTGTCCCTGCAGCTGAAAGCAGTCCTGGCCGATGCACCCACCGTGACACAAACGGCTCAGGGCACAAGCCCATGGTAATCGTTTGCCGGCCTCAGTTCAGCTTCCCGGCTGGGAACCCCAGAGCTAGAGGAGAAGGAGCAGACGGCCGCGCCAGGCCAGTGTTCACCGAAGGCCGGTCGTGTTCCACCTTCCTTTTCAGCTGCATCGATGTCCCATCTGTACAATTATTTACTTAACATTTTCTTTAAATCGGCTCGCTTTTACACTTAAATGTATATACACGTATTTTAAAAGGAATCTATATTGCGACAAAAATGCAAAATTGAAATCTTTTGCTACAAAGATATCTTAAGAAATAAATACAATGAAAACAAAATATATCCATTCACGTATCGGTAAAAATTATCTGATATAACATGATTTGGGTTCAGCGGACTCGCAAGAATTCCTCACTTTTGTCTTCTAGGGGGGAGAATATCAGCAGACCTGGCAACACCTGGCATTTCCACAGGGCACCGAAGAGCTCCAGGTAAGCGGGGACTGCCCCTCACAGCGGGGTCACGTTTTCCTGTTTGCCACAATCCCATATCCCCAAACCCTGACCCAAAGTGAGGTGACTGGTTTGGCTCTCCCGCTGGGTGGTGGAAGGACGCGGCCAGGCACCTGCCCTCCTCCCTCCGCGCAGGGCGTCTGTGGGCTGCCTGTGCAGATGGCCTTGTCTAAAACGGCCCCTGGTTCCTGCCCATCAGTCCCCTTCCTGCCTTACCCATCTGTAGTACTTATCCCCACACACCTTCTCCTACGCTAACTTGTTTACCTATTTTTGTCCTCCAGGAGAATGTCAGGGGAAGGGCTTTGTCTATTTTGTTCACTCCTGAATCCCCAAGGTCCAGAACACACCAGTTGGTGCTCACACGCACATGTGTTCAGTGACAGAGGAAGCCAATGCATGAGCAAACGAAGCCCGTCTCCTGCTTCCCAGTTCCCTATGGTGCCGGTTACCATGCTGAAAAACGCTGGTTCTCTTGACGTTTGAGAGGCGACACTAGAAATTCACTTAGAACTCGGAAACTTGTACCACACTGAGAAGGAATATGCCAGATTAAGATGAATATCTATGAGGCCATCCAGATATATGTTAAGAACTGAATAACAAATAAATGAGGGAGAAGGAACAAACCTCCCTACAGAATTAATTATGTGGACAATTAAATGTAGAAGGAATGAGGGGCATACAGAGATCACCGTTAGGGCTATTTCGCAGTAGTAACTGTCACAGGCAAGATTCAGCTCACCAAGGCATGCCAAAATGAGTGGAAGCCTGAGGAGAAATGAGCATACTCTCAAAAGACCTCTCCCAAGATATACAATAATTACGAATGGAAAATCAGTTACTTTACGGAGCAGAAACCAAGCAGACAGCACCTTAGCCAGGCAATCCAGGTTAACACCACCAGTGATAAGAAACGTGGACGCCACGGAGTGCCCGGCACGATGCACCGGGGGGCACGTGGTCTCTGTGCTGTTCTGCCACATCGTGCATAACCTCCATCGAGTCTTGAGAAAACACCAGACCAACCCCGACTGAGACAATTTACAAAATACAGTCTTCTTGCAGTGTCTCACAGTGTCACGAAGGAAGAGGAAAGACTGAGAAACTGTTATGCATGGAAGGAGATTATGGAGATGTGACGACTAAATGCAGTATGGGATCCCGGGTAGGTTCTTATAACAGAAAAAGGACATCGGTGGAAAAACTAGTGAAATTTGACTAAAGTCTGTCATTTAGTTCATAGTACTGGACTGGTGTTAATTTCATGGTTTTGATTGCTGTGCTATACTTATATAACACGGGAATATGAGAGAAAGCTGGGTGAAGGGTATATGTGAGCTATTTTTGCAACTTCTTTGTAGGTCTAAAATGCCTTCAAAATAAAAATATTAATAAGGAATTCCTCTGATGGAAATCTGGCCCCCAGAGAGTGGCCCATAAACAAGCTCCTGGTACCTAAGCAGAGCCTTAGGCCTGGATGAAGGAGTGTGATGAACCCAACAAACAGCCGAGAGAGAAGTTACTGTCTGGTTCACTCAGTCCCCAAAGCCCAAATGACAGGTCCCTGAGCTGGGCCAACGTCACTACCTGCGCCCGGAATCTGGACGCCAGAACCTGCCACTCACCACTTCCCACACTGTCGGGGTCACTCGGTGCTTTGAGGGTCAGACCAAGCACCCTCACTGCACCCTGCCCACAAAGGCTGGGGCCCTCACTTAGGGAGGCCCCACTACCAACTGGAATGCCGCATACCCTGAGGCCCGCTGCCCTGCTAAGAATCTGTCCCAAAGAAACAAGAGGGTGTCTCTAGCAAAAAACCCAGAAACTCAAACATAACATATTCAAAATCTTTATATTACAGGTATTTACCACATTCACATATTTTGATTGTGTGTAAATACCTACACTACATTTTTGCCTATGGGGAAACGGCACTTCCACGTGATGCTGTTCTGCATCGTGACTGTGGTGACAGTTACACGACTATGTGCACTTGCCGAAACTTGAAAAACCGTATATACCAAAGAGTGAATGTTACTTTGTGTAAATTAAAAAAATTGCGTTTAAAAAGTTAAAAAAAAAAAAAAAAAAAGTATGACACGCCAACAGCTATCAACAAAGATCTCTAAGGTATACCACTGCTAGGGTCGGAGGGTATCGCTGCAGAGGCATCTATATGGCACGGCTTTGTTCTTTACATTGCAAACTAAAACGGGGGTCCCCAATGCCCGGGGTCGCAGACCAGGCCACAGAGTAGGAAGTGAGTGAGCGAAGCTTCATCTGTATTTGCAGCTGCTCCCCAGCGCCAGCATCACCGCCTCGGCTCTGCCTCAGATCATCAGGCATTAGATTCTCTCAGGAGCACTGGTCCCTGGTGCCAAAAAGGCTGGGGACCGCTGAACTAAAACAGTAAGTGCGTATACACATAAGGAGGAATGTTCATGGGTGGGAAGAGATCAGACAGGACACCCACCCAACCGCGGACCACAACTACCCCTGAGGGATGATGAGACTT